GAGAGAGAGAGAGAGAGATCCTGTGTGCAGCCTGAGATCTGATCTGATCTGATATATGCACATATGCAAGCGAGGTTATGCACACATGCATACACTGATAAAGGATCTAATTAACCCCCTTTTACTCACCCACCCACACACACACACAAGGCTCTGAACAAAGCCTGTGTGAGATGTCTGCCAGGGCTTTTGGTGAAAATAAATAAACTAGCTGATATGAAAAACAGCTCCTAATGAGTTGAATTGAGTTTTCTGTAAGTGAAGAGCTGGAAAAATGAGTTCATTAATCCAGTGGTTCTCAACCTTTGGGTCTGGACCCTCCCAAGGAGTCTCAAGATAAATCAGAGGGGTCACACAATAGTTAAAGAAAATAAACACAACTGTTTCACCTATGCTCTTTTTCTTGTGAAACACTGAATATGTTTACCTCTTCTGGCCTCTCTTGTATCACTCTTCTCATCTAAGTGTAATTCCCAAAATGTTTTCCTTTTAATCTATTAATCAATAATTGTGGACCATTTGTGTGTGTGTGACAGACTGTAAGAACTGGAGTGATTAAATGGTTAATAGTGTTGCTATACCACCAAAAAATATCCCAAAAAGAACCTTGCATGCATGTATGTACAGAGTTTGTTGTTGAGAGGTAAACTTTAGTAGAATTCAGGACATGCTTCTCATTCTTGGAGTGCAGCATTGCCTGTCGCTCAACATGCCTTAATTTTCCCTTACAGTGTTCCCCTCCTGGGAGAGAAGGTGGAGGCTGGAGGGAGAGAGAGGGAGGGTGTGTGGGGGGGGGGTGTTTCGTGTCAAGGGCCAGGGCTTTGAGCTGCCACACCGCCAACCTCTGTTGCTCCGGGCCGTGAGAGCTCCGTGCCTCCTGGGACAAAGCCTGCCTTGATAAAGACCAATTCCACTGCTCGGTGCATGGAGAATGATCCTCATTACCACTACAGGTTAGGGGTTACATTCTCGTGGGATCGCCCAATAGGTGGCAATATCTCTGAAATATGTGCATTCATAAGTAGCAGTTTGTTTCAAATCCAACAAGGTGGATGTTTTCCTTCTCGCACAAGTATAGGAACACATTTCCCATGGAGAGTAAATGTCCACCCCCCCCTTCAATTTCATGTCTCCAGTGACCTTCTTCAAGTGTCTGACAACCCGGTGCATAATGTAATGTAAATCAAAAACAAGGCCTCGTTTTGATTTCACTGTGTAGTATATAGCTTCGGACGTGGGTGACAGAATCAGCCTTGCTCCCCATAAAGAAAATGATGTTATCAGGAGGCGATGAGGGAGGTGAAACACAGTAATCCCTCTTTTTTAATGCATCTCCTGGTTAGGGCTTTAGCTGGGATGTGAGAGAACATAACACCTGCGCTCCTTGTTAAATCTGTTAAATCACCCGCTGGTTATTACAGCTGTAATGAAATCTGTTTCATCAGTAAAATTAACCATCATATGTGGGGGTTGCAAGATAATTCCAACCCAATTTAACTGAGGCGTAGGGTTCGGTTACTCTCATTTAATGAAAAGAAATGTACTCTTTAAACCCAGGGCTGGAGATTGCAATGATAACATATTCTGAGGGATGTTTGATGGAGACTGCATGCTGTAATGTGCTCCATCACTACCACAACTGGGGGGAAGGCTACAGCCCCTCCGCAGGAAGTACTGTACCTCCCTAAACTACTCCCATCCACTACTGTGTCAGCATCCTTACTGCAACAACACTGGGTAAAAAAACCAAGCCAGGAAATAAAATAGAGTGGATTCTGGAGGCTGGAAGCACAGTAGCTCATGTCCATCGATACATCTTTGCTGCTGACCAAGCAGCCACTCTGCAGCTGCAGCAGCAGCAGCAGCAGCGGTTCGTCCTGCATACATCTACAGGCTCACCATCGTATTTACAAATGCCTTTACTTGCTGTTTGCAAAGGCAGAAAACGACACACCTCTCATTTCTTATTCCTGCGTTGCATTCAGGTGCTGCGCTGTGGTAGAGAGAAAAAAAAAAAAAAACACACGCAGGCAATAGCACTCAGTAGCCCCTATTAAAATCAACACACTGCAACTGATACAAATAAGCCCCAAAAAACAGATTAAACAGGCAACTCTCGCGATAAGCCTTTCGAGCAGACTTCGGTGTATCTGTGCGAGCAGAAACCTGAGAAATCGTTAATAGTATCTTACCGTTAGATCGGTGGAAGGAGAGCCTCTGCTGACTGTCAGATGAGGAGATGCTCTGCTGGAAGTGGGAATGATGCTGGACGGTTCAACCTCTGTTTCTAGAGACAATGCTGCCCCCTGTCGGTGGTAGGTGGACCTGCTGCCGTTTTAAAACCGTCGGACGAGCCGTTTTGTTTCGTGTGTTTATTTAATATGTCATTTATATGAACTGGCTTTAATAAAGTGCATTGAAGTACACATTTTTATATAAAATTTCCACAAATGTATATATAGTTTTTAGGTTGATATCCGAATAAAAATAGGACGGTTGTCAAGTCAGACGAGATACAGCTATATTTCACTTCCGTTTCTTCAAAATAAAAGTCACGTGAAGCGCAAGACAAGAGCAGCTATATTTAACTAACTTAACATCTGTGGTGGAAACTAAGTACATTTACTCATGTACCCTACTATACTACTACTATAATACAACTTTGAGGTACTTTACTTAAGTATTTCCATTTTCTGCTAGGCATGCTTTATACTTCTACTCATTTTAGAGGGAAACATACTTTTTACTTCACCACATTTGTTTAGTTTCTTTCCAGTTTCAGATTAATTATACAAAATATAATCAACAAATATATATATATATATACACATATAAATATGATGTATGATCGGTTTATTGATCACAGGGGAGATTCACAAGTTACTTAACAGTACTTTGTCCATCACTGACGTTGGCATTCATCATTAATGTGATAAATCCAACTGTAACTTCTGTGAGAATGAATTTAACTTTCTTTCAGTGTCCCATTGGGATTTTATTCCATGTTCTTGCTTCAATTATACACCAGTTCTTAGCTTGAAATATGTTTACACAGGCAAAATGACAGATAAGACAAGATAAGATGAGATAAGATAAGATAAGATACTTTATTGATCCTGGAAATATGCTTGTTAGAGCAGCTCAAGATACATGACAACACAATAGATAAGAAAATACACATTAAATAAAAATAAAATAGAAAAATACAAGATATAATAGAAATAGAAAATAAGAGTTATATGTAAACTATATACACCTCTTTTTATACAGATATTTTTGATCAATTGACAGCCTTTATAAATGTTTTCTTGTTTTAGTTGTAGCTTAAAGCGACTCTTCATTACGGCAAATTAGACATTATTTGTAGGATTCACTTTTAACAAATTCATTCTCTACTTTTACTTTGAAAGAGGAATCTAACAGCTGCCACTGTTGACGTCATTCAGTCCAACTTGACGCAGCTCGACCAAAACAAAAAAAAAAACTACAAAGATGGCGTCTGAAACTGACCTCAGGGGCCTAAATGAAATAGGTGACTTAATGTGAGCCTGGCCTCTGGGATATAAGTCTTTCTCGTGATATAATTTCACAGAAGTCTCTCTCACATTTATAAATCGTACGTAATATGTTTGAAATAGCAAAGGGCGACCGTTATTCGGACGTTTTTTTTTTTTCCGGAAGTTTCGACGCGGAGCCGGTGTTTCCCCGGCGACGTAACGGTTGCTGCCGCTGGGTCTTCAAGCAGGAAAAAGCGCCAACTTACGCTGCGCCGCCTGAATCGTCAAACACTCTGTAAATGTCTCTCAGAGCGGGTTTTCCGTCCAACATATCAAACTTCAGTGTGGAATGACTCGTTCGGGTGAGAGTTTAGACGCTGTGTGGATTTGCGATAGTTGGTTTTCTGTGAGTGAACTGTTACAAACGGCGTGTTGCCTGTCTTTTCTCCTCCGCATCGTTTTGACCCAGTTTTGCGGCGGTGTTTTGTCCGTAAAGCGCTCAACAATACCGCTTTATTGCGCCACCGTAGCTCCTTCCTAACGCCATTAACTAAAACAAAGGCTGCTAATGTCAACAGCTCTTTGTCAAAAGTTGAGCGGCACATTGAAAACAAGAAGAAGCGCCCGTAAGTTAGCCATAGCCAGCTACCATGTTATATAACGCGTTGTGCAGCCGGTAACTTGTGCTGCGTTTAATAAACCAGAGCTGTCTGCGTTCATTTAATGTGCGTCGTTTTGTTGTAGTCGCATAACTGCGCAGTAACAACTTAGTGCGTAGTTGCTTTCGTTCTCGTTGAACTCTCGATGGCGCCTTCTGAAACTAAACTGTGTTTCCATTTCTTGCCAGCGGGGTGCGCTGTTGCATCTCAGTAGAAAAGACAGAGAGGTTAAAACTACATCGCCCCCTTCAAGATGCCAGGCCTGCAGGGTGAAAACGTCGTGGCGGCGCTGGGGAGCCCCATCAAGAAGAGCAAACTGTCTCTGAAGTTCCTCCAGAAGAAGGAGACCAAACGAGCTCTGGACTTCTCTGAACCTCCAGCAGATGAACCCAAACCGGCCGAAGCAGTGGAGCCTGAGGCCAGGTGGGTCTGTGCTGTCAGGGTGTGATTTGTTTGGGGTTATACCAAGTTCAAAAAGGCTGATTTATTGGGGCCTTGTTGATGAATGGTGAAACACGCAGTTTAAATCATCATCAATCAACCAAGAGCCGTTTGAAATTTGACAAAACCTCAATTTACTAGTTCAATCAGATGTTAGTCAGTTGTGTTGTGATGATAGAGGTCAAATGTGTGACAGCGGCTTTATATTTCAGCGCTGTCGCTCTGAAAAGACGCACTGGCCTGCAAATCTTGTTCTACAGATGTAAGAAAGCGTGTTTCTTTGGCCCAACAGAGGTCACATCGTCATGACTTTAGTTGTTTTTTTCGTCGAAAAATGGAAACTGTGACGCCAAAATGATAATTCGCGTTAATTTTGAATCATTTGGCAATCACAATATGGTTATGTTTGTGCAGCCGTAGTTTTATACGTGTTAAGAAGTTGGTTTCGTATAATGTACAAAAAGTGGTGGACGATCTCTTCGCTCCAGTGAAACAGCAACAATCAGAGAAGTAACTCGTAGCTGGTGACGGTTTCCTCTCTTTTTAATTTGACACTCTGTTTTCTTGTCCACTGTTCAGCGGCTGTGATCCGGCGGCCCCTGGTCCTTCTCCGTGCCCGGCCTCACCCGCTCTTCTGCCCGGTGAGAAGAGGGAGAACCTGGTGCCGTTCGTGGGGCTCAACAACTTGGGCAACACCTGCTATTTGAACAGCGTCTTACAGGTGGGTGAGCGTCAGAGATACGACGGATACGTGTAGCGTGTGTGTACAGTAGACACACGTGTGTAGGAAGGGTTGTGCATCTCACAGTATGTGTAGTTATTTGACTTTAAATAAGTAGAACTAATGTTTAACTAATGAGAGAGAAACATGGACACAAAACCTTTTTAAACACAAATTATTGTCATTCTCATGAAATTCAGTTTCTGTATCAAAGCATGAACATTATAAGTTACTAAATTAAGATCCACATATTCCTTCGTCATGGATTTAACATTTTACATAACATATAAAGCCTTCATACAGTCTGTAGGAAACACCATTACTCTGCCAGGTTAGATTAAAGGTGGACATAAACACTGCAGTGTCTGCTGTGGTTGATGTAGAACAGATAAGACCTGTAGATAAGTGGTTGCTCCACAGCATTCCCCCGACTGATGTACGGTGTGCTTACATCTGATCCTCTCACTGTAGCTTGTTTGTATTGGCAGCGTTTGGATCTAAAGAGACAGACGGGCACTGGAGGATGATCTCACCTGTTCAAATAGTGCCTGTGGTTGTATTTCATGTCTTTAGAGTAAGAGACTTAGAACATATATGTGTAACTCTTCCTTTGTGTTATTATCGTGTACTGTTACTGGTATCAGCAGTGTGGAAAGGCTTTAAGTAGCGACTCAAGTTTCCTCATAAAAGAATATAGAAGGTATTAAAAGTGTTAGATTTCCCCACAAAGATCTAAAACAGCTATTTTAGGCTATAATAGGAAATAACATTACTTAGCAAATGTGATTTAAGCAAATATTGTCTCCTTATCCAGGTTCAGGTCAATACATTCATGTGCTTGGTAAATAATTAAAGGTCTTATCACAGAATCACACAGCTGCCTCCAATAAAAATGACTTCAAAGTTTAACCTCACAGAAACCCTGTTGTCTTTGTTTTCCCTCGGTGACTAACGTTGTTGTCTCTTTGCTCCTGCAGGTGCTGTACTACTGCCCGGGGCTCAGAGAAGGCATAAAGACACTATACACTGTGTCCAAAAGAAAAGACAAATCCAAGGAAGAAACTGATAAAAGCGAAGAGGTTGGTACAAAACAAAGTACGCTTTTATTTTGTACAAAATTAACATTTGCCAACAGTTGTATAATATAGTGTAACTAAGTGTCCCTGTTGTGTCGAGACCATCTAAGCTTATTTGATACGAACTACAAACATTTTATTGATGTTTTGTATTTTATTTGTCTCAGCAGTCAGAAGTTGAGGCTTTGCCACCTCAAATCGAGCTCCTCGGGAGCTTCAACAGTCTGATGACGTCAGTGGAGCAGCTGCAGTCCGACTTCCTGCTCAACCCCGACAGCTTCAGTGAAGGAGAACTCGCCACACCGCCTCGCAGAATCCTCCACACACTGCGGTAATGATGTGGTCACGTTTAATCATAGGTTGTAACTAAACATTCACATTGTTCGGTAGCTCATTTCTGCCCAAATGAATGAGTGATTAAGGACAAAACTGCAGAAAAATCAAACAATGTATCTACACCTTTCTTGTCTATCTTCAGCTGTTGACTGTTTGTTAAGTTGTCAAGTTCAAAAGTTAAAAAACGACATTTTTCATATTCATATTTACTTTAAAGCAACAGTTACACAGCCAAAGAATAACATTTTTAAAGCTGAAATAAGCAAAATCTTTTCTTGAGTAATCAACTTAATTATTTAACAGTTCATAAATCATTAAGATTGTTTTTCCTTCAGTAAACTAATTGACTGTGTGTGTTACAGGCAGCTGAACCCCATGTATGAAGGCTATCTTCAGCATGATGCCCAGGAGGTGCTGCAGTGCATCCTGGGATATATCCAAGAGGCTTGTGACACCATCAGGAAGGAGCAGGAGTCGACGAGGAAGGACGAAGACGCGACTGAGGTTAAAGTTGAGAATGGTGTCCATGTCGGTCCCAGCAGCTCGGCAGCAGAATCTCAAACTCCCACAGAAGAGGACGGCCAAGTCAGCGGCAAGAGAAAGAGTGACACTGAAGTGGGAAACGCCAAGAAGAAGCCAAAATCGGTGAAGTCTAAGAAATCGGATGCAGAGGAAGACGGCATCAGTAGAAATAAACCCTTCACTCGCTCCAAAAGGAGGTCCTCTAGTGACATCACTGTAGACAGCAGCCAGAACAAAGAGGGGAAGGCAGAAGATGAAGGGATGAAGACACCGAGTAAGGAGGAGGAGGAAGGCGGGAGTGACGCTGAGGGGAAAGCACCTAAAGAGGCAGATGGGAAGAAGAAGAAGAAGGCCAAGCTGAGCTGGCTGAGGCCTTCTGGGAAACAACCGAGTATCTTCTCCAAGTTCCGCAGCGTGGGGAAGATCAGCTGCACGACCGTGAAGAACCAAATCAAATCAGAGAACGAGAACGGGAACGGGCTGACGGACGACCACAGTCACAATGAGAAGACCGGCGAGCAGAAATCACCGCAAAGCGCGGCTGAAGAGACGGCAGTGAAACCTCAAGGTGGGAGATTAATACTTTGATTAGGTGAGCTGAGTTTAGATCAGCAGGTTTCTCCTAAGATCCCTCAGTGTTAATACCACAAACTGTATATGACTGATAAAAGGGGAGAGTAAACACCGCCACGTTATTCTATTGAAAGTATTTATTTCACACGTACACATCAAATATACAGAGTACTCCTCCTTACAGTTTTCTCCATTCAGAGTAGCCGTCACTCTCCAACAGATTGGAGCCTCAGATGGCCTTTCAAAGAGTTTCTGTCTTAATGTGCATTTTATTGTAAAAGCAGCCTTCAAGCTATTGGAATAGAGAGTAAGAAGAGAAGTCAGTGCTTCATATGTGACTTCAGACATGAAACATGACAGGTCACTCAGGTATGTCTCTCCGTGTCTCCGTTCTATTCAGACGGCCTGGATCTGATGGAGCGCTTGTTCCAGGGCCAACTGGTTCTGAGGACTCGCTGTCTGGAGTGTGAGAGCTTCACAGAGAGGAGGGAGGACTTCCAGGACATCAGCGTCCCAGTGCTCGATGACCAACCCAGCAGCCCGGACGACCTCTCCGAGGGTGAGCACTTCTACACCCGCACCCTGCACCCGCTCCAAGAATAAGGCAATAAGTTGACTGAAAGCATGCAAAACAATCAATTTACATAATGTAGTATCACATAGAATCATTTAAAATAACTGCACAGTGAAAACATACACAGGGAAATCTGGAAAAAAGTTTTTATTACAGTGTCCCCCTCTGCAAAATACATTTGAAAGGCAATCTTATCCTGCATATCCAGAGAAAGAAGGTGTTCTGTGAATTAAAATGACATCAAAACATATAAAAATATCGTGTAATGAACATTCCTCTTCCTTCCATACCACAATGTAGACAAAATAAGGATTTATTCAGTAACTGATACTTTCTCTCTCTGCAGTTTCTCCTGATCCTAAACCAGAGCTGAAGACTCTGACGTGGGCCATCGGGCAGTTTGCTTCAGTGGAGCGGATCGTTGGGGAGGACAAATACTTCTGTGAGACCTGTCATCATTACACTGAGGCTGAGAGGAGTCTGCTGTTTGACAAAACTCCTGAAGTCATCACCATCCACCTGAAGCGCTTCTCTGCCAACGGCTTGGAGTGAGTTGATGAACTGTCAACACATTTACTGTCAGTTTGTTCCACTGTTCTGTCCTGCAGTGCTCCTGTGGTGGCGGATTGGTATATAGAGTATAGACGTATTGGTCACTGTGAATGTGAAATCAGATTAATGATTTTACAGATTCAAAAGGCTCATGTTTGATTTTCCTCTCAGAAATACACATTTAGTTGCTTAAAATGGATTTTTATTCAGTTGACAGTCCACTGCTGTTGAGAGAAAAAAGGTCTTTTGACAACTTATACTTCCACTAACTGAAAGTGAAGAGGAAAACAAGTTATCAGACTAAAGAAGATGTTACAGGTATCACACAGGAACAGAACAGGGAACGTCTGTCGTCTTGAATAGTGACACGGTCATGATATTCACTCCTCTGTTTCTCCTCCTAGGTTGGACCCGTATGCAGGTCTGTCTAAAGTGAACACTCCCTTGCAGACGCCTTTGACCTTGTCCCTGGAGGAGTGGTGCACCCGGCGCTCGTCTGCAACGGCTCAGCGCTATCAGCTGTTTGCGGTGGTCATGCACAGCGGCATCACTATCAGCAGCGGCCACTACACCGCCTACGTCCGCGTGTCCGATCTGAAAGATGCGAAGCTCTGGCTGCAGGACAGAAAAGAAACGGAGGAGGAGGAGGAGGAGGAGGAGAGTAAAGAGGGGACGCGGGTGAAAGAGGAAGTGTTGGACTATGATGACGGAGAGGTGTCGTTCAGCCTTCCCGCAAGGAGAGCTGCGAGTTTGGCCAGCAACAAACCGGGAGGCAAGAAGCTGTCGGAGGGTGGGGTCGGACTCCTGGGGGGCCAGAGGAGTTTGTCCAGTTACGACCTCGGCAACAGCAGCAAACACACGGAGAAAGCAGCCAGCAGCGGAGCCTCAGAGGGATCCAAACGGAGGAAAACCATCAACAGTCAGGGCCTTAAAAAGGAGCCTGGAGTCGGAGAGGAGGCCTCCGTGAGCTCCTGCGGCGGAGTGGAGGCCACAGAGCAGCAGGCCTTGAACAACCTCCTCCAATACGAGGGCAAGTGGCTGCTGTTCGATGACTCTGAGGTGCGTTTGTTTGAGGAGGAGGATTTCCTGCGAGCATGCTCTCCTGAGACCTGCTCGTCATCGACACCGTACCTGCTGTTCTACAGAAGGATGCCAGAACCGGGACTCTAACACGAACACAAGGACCGCCAGTCAGGCGTTCTGGCAGCTCAACACTCACACAGTTGTATTTTGTAATACTACCAACTGTGCCAAAAACACACTGGCTGCCTGAACTGAAGATACTTTTCAGCCCACAAAGCCACTGAAACAGTCTGGTCTCACTGCGGGGCCGAAGCTGTTTAGACCCACTCATGAACTTGTATGCCGGGACAGACAAATGGGGATTTGTCTGTGTGCCAGGGATGATTTGAGCCGCCTTTTTATTTTTTTGGATGTGATTCTCGCCTCTGTAAACTGAGCACAGTTAATGAGTACAGGCCTCTTTTTGCTGTGTGTACTATTATTTCTTGGACACTGGCTTTGATATGTTTTCTGTTTTTTTTTTTTTTACAAATTGGAAAAGCACTTTTGAACTAAAAATTTAAAGAAGTGAAAATGCAAAATGTAAAAATCTTTTCTAGCTGATTTACTTTTATATAATCCATTCATTTGCATTTACAGGAGAAGATGTTGGTGCTGAGTATATTTTAAATAGATTACTCCACAAAAAAAAGCCAAATAAAACACAAAAGGTCCTTTCAAGTAATGCAGAATACGCTTCATGAGGTTAGAGAGAATACGCTGAAGTTTTATTTCTGCTATATTTTCTTTGGCTTCACTTCTAAAGTTTTGCACTAATTCCTCGTCCTCAAGTTTTTACATTCAAAATTTTTTTAAATATAAATTTGAAGCCTGAATATGCTGATAGAAAAACCTACAGTGTTGGATTGACTTATATTTTTGCATAAAACACACTAAACTGTCCATCCTCCAGTGTATATACCAAGCTTGGCTCTGTTTATGCAGGCTGCTGACTTTCTCACTCACAAGCTTCAAGGTGCCAATTCAAAGTGAAGATGTGTGAAACTTAAACCCTTAATATATTTATAAATCTTCAGTAAAGGTTCTAAGATGTTTATCGAGGTTATAAACTGCCTCTTCAGCTTCCATATCTAATTCAGTCTGGAGCTAATCATTTGCATATTTATGCAAATCTGGATTTGTTATTTACAGGCTTAGTTTCTTACTTGAACATGTTCCATACTTCTGAGTCTGTCCCTGTGGATACTCAAATAATGACTCCTATTGATCGAGCATTGCATTTGTTTTGTGCGTTTAGCGTATTTTTGTTGTAATTAATAACGTAACGTAGCTTTTCAGGTTTAAAAATGTGGTCATAAGGAATTACAGGTATCTAGTTGCAAATATTCAGTAAAGATGACATTATTCATCTCAGGTTCAGCAGAGTTTATAAATCCAATCATGGTTTCAGGGATTAAATCGGATATTTAGCTGTAGCTTCATGAGCAATAACCATTATTGGCCATATTCAGTCATAAGTACCTGGGAAAGGTTTCCAAAGCAAGTTTTGGAATTTAATGTAATGTGACAACAGTCCCAGTTAGTGTTGTCTCCTTTAAACTGTACCTCATTCCAGCTGTGATTACATTAATGTTGGCAGGTTCTTACTATAAGCAATAAAGTTTTTACCTTCACATGTCCTCACTCACCATCCTTTTGTTGCCAGACATTATGGCCATATTCTTACATCCTACTGATGTGTCGTCTCCAACGTAACATTAATCCTACATAAACACAAACATAGAAGACAGCAGCATACACCAACTGAACATTAAAATATTTATTTAGTAAAATATTTAAAATAAACAAAACAAAACTACATAAAATTATACAAGGATGTTTGAAGTACCTAACTTTAAAACATTCTTTCAACTAAAAATGATAATAAAGCGTCATGATAAATAATGGTACCATTTTTTGCATGTTTTCATTTTTTTCTCCCCCCCTCCATTTTGAATTACATAAACTTTCAAGTTGTAAAATGCATTGCTACACCGTAATAAAAAAAGTGCACACATGAAATTGAATACAGATTTTTGACACATAGTACATAATTAAATAGACACCTTGACTTTTAAAATTGTACCTTTTCTGCTGAAATAAAATAAAAATTGTTTTGGCACTATAAGTCACTAATAAAGGGATCACAGAGCATTCTTGGTTTTCAGTGGCTTGTTTGTTTACATCCAGCAGATTCTGTTGCTTTCAGAACCGAAGGCTAACATGATTAGCTTTTTTTAAAAATGGTTGCGTAGGGACGAATATAAAGACATGTCCCCCCGTGTGGCAAAAGGCCAGCAAAGAAAAATTCTAAATGTCAAGGTATCTCTTTAATCTTTAAGATCCACTTGTTCGTCCCTCTGATTGTGTAACAGTTTGCCTGTAAACAACTTAAGACACTGGAATGACGTACCAAGCTGCAACACGTTTAGCCTTTCTTTTAACACACTCTCCGAAACACTGACCAACTTTGGAGACACTCCTATTTACACTTGAGAATAAATTAATATTGCAATTTCTGTAATGTGTGTGCGTGTGTGTGTGTGTCTGTAGTGTCTTCATCTTCAAATGTCAAGCTTGCGAAGACTCATTCTGCTGAAGGAATCTCTGGAAATCAGAAAAAAGAAAAAAAGTTTTGATTTACAAAGACAGATTTGTTTGAAACTGAACACAATGGGGGATTTAAGTTCCTTCAGACCCAATGATTTTGGGTTTATGTAGCTTATCTGCCATTTTAATTCTCACTTTTACTATTCTCACAAGCCAGATGTCTTTTTACAAGACTGTAAGGCTGGGAGGACTAAAATGTCGTATTTTCATCCAGATCTGTGAAACGAAACTTTAAAATCCACACATGCTATACGACCGATGTAAATGACAAATGTAGGGTTCCCATTGTGATGCTGATGAAAACGTCCAGGTGTTACATGACGTTAGGTTGCATACACACACAGACTTGCTGTTATAAATTCATAAATGTACTGTATTGCTTTCTATAATATTGTTTTTCTGCAATACAGCTCTAAAAACTGCCCTCACTTAGCAGAAAATCAGTGACCAGTGGGAACCGTACATGAGATATCAAACACGGGACAGACTCAAAACAGCGTCACAAAATGTAGTCTGAAAGTCACAAACTACCTTGTCAAGCTGTCCGTTTGCT